AAGAACAAATAACTGTAAATTGTATGAATATTACAAACCAATAAAATTTATTATCGCCGTTATTAAGAATTGACATTATTGAGGAAATTTAACTCATAAAATTTAAAAAATACTTTTTATAAATCTGATAAACATGTGACATATATGGTCTAATTAAAAAAATAATCCCCATAAATTTGCATAAATTTCGAAATTGTCTCGTTTCCTATCGACTTCTTTTTAAGCAAGGTTATCTTCTCTCTGATTGTGGTCACGCGCTCGGTACATAGAATATTTCCAACAATCATCACTTCATAATGCTCGAAAATGAAATAATATATAAGTATTTAAAATTTTTGAAATAAATGCAATTATTGAAATTTATTTAAGAAAAAAAATACTTCATAGTTATATTTATTTACCAATGGTCAATATTTATTTAGCATAGACATTTATTTTGAATGCATGCTTCTCATTTTAAACGATAAAAAATGTCTCCATTGTCGATAAAAACTAAATGACTCAGTACAAGAGTCCCGTGAATTTTTTATGCTTTGCAAAGAATAAAAACTACATTTTTTCAAAAAATTATCGTACGTCAGATATCAATTAATATCGCTTTGCGTCTCATTGCGTTCAATATTCGAGTCCACCTTTATGTCCAATCCTGTTTGAAAACGAGTCTTCTACTGATTGCAAATGTTAACCAATCCGGATAAGCATAATCGTCTCTGTCGAAGGACAGCGCGGTAAAGCGATATGCTCCAAGTCTCGCGCCGCAGGAAAGCTATGCAAGCAAGCCCGTCTTTCGGAAACGTATAAAAGCGCGAGGCAGCCTCCCCGGTCGTGGAGTATTTCTGCACTATATAAGCAATAGTCCCTAATTTATGCCCGGACGCCGTAGTCAAACGTTGTGACGACTTTTATAGGCCTACACGCAAATCCACGCACTCATGTTCGGTTACGATGTACCCGCCGTGTCGTGCTTTCCACTTTAAACTCACACGTGTGCATTTATTTGCATGTATCCGGCGGTCACGCATATGGTCGCACACTATCGCGCGTTGCGGTATGTTACTCGCACTTGAGACAGGATCGTCGGTTCCCGGACGCGAGAAAGCACACGAGAAAAAAATTTACCTGTATCCCACCCGAGTCAGCACCGATCTCAATAATATGGATGCACCACTAAATAAACCGGTTAAAGAATATTGTTGAATTCAACTTCTTCAAAAAAATATTCTTTTGTTTTTGACATAACAGAATCGTGTATATTGCGTCTTGACAATCAACTCTTAATCAGGTCAATGGCAATGCATCGTGTCACATCTGGATCTCGAGAATCAATTTATGATAATTCGTATAATTATTCATTTTAGACTGGATGCTTGACAAAAATCCTATCGGCAAAGGAATTGTTTCCATAATTACGTCACGCCATATAAAGACAATTCGGGCGTTTCCTTTTATAGAGAATTAAAGGTGGAACAACACTCGTATCCTCAACTACGTTTAATTGGTTCACCAAAAGGGCAAGCCGAGAGAAGACATCAGTAATTTATGAAATCGCTAAAAGCACGACTAAAATACTATCTGCGATATAAATCACAGTTTATACCGCGGATGCTGTCAGATAACCCTGACAAACAACCTCGGGCCGCGATGGCGCTCGTAAAAGGACGCGATACACCTACGCTGCCCGATGCTTGCATATGAAATCTGTGCCGCGTCAGAGGTAAGAAATTAAATGGAATTCTTCTAAGTGAGCAATAAGCGCTCGCCGTGTTTTTAAATGTCGCCGCCGAGAGAGGAGACACATCCGTGTTTCCACGGATACCGGTTACCGAGGCTCGCGAGAGTTGCCCGCAGTCCTAAAAACACGACCGTGAGAGAAAGTATGCGACGCACTTTTCGACGTGATATCAGTGCATCAGTAACAGTGTTTTTTCAGTCGGCGGTAGGTCCGATTAATTAGCCGCGGAGTCCGCCGCGACGGTGCTTTTTGATCGTGCGCTCGGACTATGCAAATTTATAAACTTCGCCGCAGTAACGCGGAATGGGTATGGCGTCCGTTGTTTTCATCGTAAATACTTTATCATGTTTTAGCTACAATTAACAACAGACGCGCCGATTTCCCATTGAACAGCAATATGTAAAACCGGATAGAGCGATTAATGCTGATGCGAAATCACAGTCGTTAGTAGCTGGCATCTGAAGAATTGACATTGGAAGTTTTTATGATCAAATTAAATTCAAATTGCATCAAATCAAATTTAATTGCAACATGCGATATATTTTAAAAGTTCGAAAGTTAGCGGTCTACGCATTCTCGCGTATGCGCAATTTATACCTCTCAGCTGAGAAAAATCTGAAAGTGAAAATCTATCGAATGTAGCAATAGAGTTTGATTTAATTAATTAATTTAATTTTTTGATTTAATTTTATTGTCAAAACTTTTAATGCCAATGCGATATTGGTATCGCAAAATAAATAAAAACGCATAAAGATATATTCAGGCAGTAAAGTAATATTTAGGCAAGACAATCACGACGCTTTAATTGACCGTTGCACGTAAAAATGGATCAAAACTTCTTTGGTTACGGGTTTTTTACTTGGAAAGAACGAAGCCTTTGTACAGTGAAATTCTAAAACGAATATTTTGCTAAGTCATAATGGAACAGCGTAAGCGGGATGCACCATGGGAGATAATGGCCGTTTTTTGCGCTTTGTTATTAGAACGAAGGAAATGAACGAATGATGAGTAAAAAAAGCGGTTCACCTGCCGTGTCGCCGCTCTTCGCCAGAAATCAGGACGCCGAAATTGCGCCTTAAAACCCGAAATATCGTCGTCTCATATAATCATCCTTTCTGTGATCCTATTTCATTTGCACCAATAATAATACAGGTCGACATTTTTAGACTTTTTGTCTGCTGTTTGAATATAATATATTATTTCCGATGTATTTTTTCACGCTGAACATAAATCCAGCCACGAAATTGCTCTATCACGACAGGTTTTTGAGAAAAGTGAGGTTAAAAGGCATTTTAAGATAGTGTAAACGAAAGTAAAAAATAAAATTTACTTTATGTGCGAAAAAATCATAAATATGCCAAAAAACGTCTATTTTGACATTTTTAACCTCACTTTTCAGTGTTCAATATGAAAAAATACATCGGAATATATTATATTCAAACAGCAAAAACCATGTCGGCCAGTATAATCTACATCTCAACAAAAAAAAATTAAGTCGCATGTGCGTTAGTGCTCTCATTATTCAAACTGGTTATTCGGCTCCGATCGTGCCATGGCCACCGGTACCAAATTAGTTGCGAGAAATCTCGCGATATTAATGCGCCGCACCTGACAGCTTTCAAAGATACGTATCGTCGTTTGCTTTACGCCTCTCTTTTTTTCTTCCGAGTACCAAACTCGATTACAAGTTCATTTTTCTCTGTCAATTTCCCAAACTCGCCACTGCTTCTCATTACATATACACACGCATCTCAGCATGTCTCAACTTGCTAGTTGCCTGGAATCACATTATGCATGACAGTTAATTTTCCGAAATAAATAATATAATCATTATAGTCGACGCGTTATGTGTACAAACGGAAACTTAATTTATTTCCTAAATGAAAGTGCCTTCATAATTGCTGAGTAAATGCGACAGTATTTTTTGTTCAACTTTTTAGTTATTGTGTGAAAGAAGCTCGAACGGGAAATATATATAATATATGTACATAAAGAAGCAGCACATGCTTCGGCATTTGTATGTTTACGTTTTTTTACATAAACATCGTAAGCGCATCATGGAATATATGTATAATAATCGTATAGTATACCATCGCATCACTATTAACTTAATTCATAAGCAATTTGGGATTATCAACATATTCGATATGATGCTTAATATGTTTTTTAATATATATATATCATGTTAGGCACCTTCTCTAATATGACATTGTGGTTGTTATAAGTATTGGCTATTATCTTTCAACCCGCAGGAGCTGTATGCTACTGAGTATACTATATAATCAAGCACCATTCTATAAAATTATGCAAAAGACTAACGATAATATTACCGATAATATTACTGATATCGTTTTAAAATTATTGAAAAAAAAACAAAATATGCGATGTGATCTCTAATAAGACAAATGCTCTAACTGTGCAATTATCTATCGCCTTGTTCTTGTGTGAGAGTCATAATTACCGTGACTTACCGCGAATATCATTAATAGCGATTCCCTTTATTAGAAAATTAACAAAATATGCATAATCGATATGTACGATTATCTGTTCACCTGCAATCACGCAATTAATTTTTTGTTATTCTTATACAATCCATCGGTTCATTATGTTTATGAACATTTGTGAAAAAACTTATGTATTTCAATAGTTATTATGATAATTCATCTCTTTTCAGTTCTCGGTATAAATATATTTTTTGTATTAAACAATTTTTCTATTACATTAAATGTGTATTCTTTTATTTTTCATGTAAATATAAATAGCACATTATTTTTAAGTTTAGTAAAATAAATCTATTTACAAATATCTTAATTATTTTTAAATTTTGAATTTATATATCAGATTATTAATAATTAATTATATTTACTTGCATAATATTACACGTTTACTTTGACGGAAAGAGTTATTTTTGATGCTAATAAATCTATGGGTGCGTTATTCGACAATTATGCTTTCTTTTGCAAGTATAATTTAAAATCTCAACGTGGTTGCTATTACAAGCAGTAAACAAATAGATGAACATATGTGTGTTATAAAGTGTGAGTTTATCCACGATTAAATCAAGTTTATATTAAAAAAACGTATCTTTTAAAACATATTTAATATATTTTCTTTTAATATAAATTGTTAATGTAAATTTACCCTAAATTTTCTACCATGTAACGCAATAAAATCAATAAGATCAAATTATTAGAAATCTTCTTTAGCAGCTGTTGCTATAACTTTATTACTGAGTTGTTGCTGACTTCCGTCAGACCAAGGTGTCGTACAGTACCGAGCAGTATCGTACACGGACAAAACATAGTATAAAAATGTAGCTGTATTTATTAAAAAGATTTTATAACATAACTTTTCTGACTTTAATACACGTTGCTTTAAATTTGATAATGTGAATGGCACTATCTCACTGTATAAAACAAAGTGCAAATATTGATGTGCGTATAAATGAAGTTGTTATGTGTGACATAACCTGAAAATTAGACTTCTTTTGACAAGAGGTATTGTTTTGTTTTACATTCCATTGTATAATATTCATTTACACAGAGTAATATCAGTCTTTGATGTTCCATTTTCCTTATCTTGTAGAGCAAAGACCTAATTAATTATGGATCCGCAAACTCAACAGAAGATTTTGCAATTTGAGACCTTTGTAAACGAGGTGCTAAAAAGTGATCTTGCAAAATTAGCTGAAAAATTGGACGCTAAAAATGCCGACGTCGCTGAGTTTCTACAATTGAAATCAGTGATAACGACGTTTCAGAATACAAACGTCGAAAAAACTGGTTTCAAGACTAAAGTGGATATTGGAAATAATTTCTTTATTCAAGCACACGTCTCAGATGCTTCCAAAATTTTATTGGACGTTGGTTTAGGATATTATGTCGAATTTACTTTGGATGAAGCACTAATCGTTATAAATGTACGGATCAAATTATTAGAACAGCAAATAGCTAATTTGCGAAAAGAGATTGCGAGGACTAATGCTCACATCAAGTATATCCTTCTTACTATCAGAAGTATACAAGGGCTTGAAGAAAATGACTAATAAAAGCTATTCTAATGAATAAAAGACGAGTTAATATAAGAATTGAAGAACGTAATCTTACTTTTTGTGTAAACAAATAAAATCATAAGCACATGTTACTGTAATAATTACACATAATATTTTTATAAATTTATAATTAAATTTATAAAGAGAAAATATGTGATTTAATATATTGTTCCCAAAAATTCTAATTCTTTCATTAATTGCCTAAGACTATGATATATAAAACAATTTATTCTAATAAAGCATGAAGAATGGCAAGGCTGAATAAAAGCATAGTAAGTATGCTGTGTAATTTTAACAGCTTAGTAAAAAAATACAGACATGTTTCAATTTTATTTTTAATTATCCTCGGTCTAATATGCCAAAAAATTTAAAATTATAACTATGCTAAAATGGGATGTAAACGCAAAATACAATTTGTTCTATCATTATTTAATATATTCTATAGAAGGTAGTCTAATTAAAGTCAAATTGATTAATTTAGTGGCCCAAGGGATACTTAAATGTTACTCCGTTGTTTCCTCGTTGAGTTTAATTGCATAGATTTAGAAAGACCTTGTACGTCGTTTATATATGGTACGGTTGTTCGTAAATATATTCAGTAATCTTTTAACGTCGATAGCGCATAACGTTTTGACGACAAAGTTCCGACATTATTATCTGCGGTCCTATAATTTTTATTTAAGACATAACAGTTTTAATGACCGACTGGCAAAGCATACCATGCGAAGAAAAACACAAAGAGTTTCTCGAAAAATTCAGCACGATGTTAATCGAATATACATTCGAAAGTGTGTCTCGTGATAATCCAGTATCGAGATGGAGAGAACCAGATTATTTGCGAAATATAATAAAGTTCGAATTAAATGACCAGCCTGAAAGTCAGGAGGATCTTTTAAAGTCAGCGATAAATATTCTAAAGTACAGCGTCAAGGTCGGTCATCCTCGATTCATGAATCAATTATTTTCTGGGTAAGAAATTTCAAATATATAAAAATGCAAATTAATTTAAAGAATTATTTTCTTAATACGTGCTTTTGCTTGATCTATTTTCTACTTTTACATACTTTCTTATTTAATTGTTTAAGGTTAAAATTTATTTAAAAATGTTAAAGATTTATTTATAAACTGATCTCAGTAACATGCTAATTTTTTTACGACTCTAACATAATTTTTTAATTATTAAACTTTAGATTAGATCCATATGGCTTAGCTGGTCAATGGCTAACGGACACTTTGAACGCTTCGGTGTACACTTACGAAGTCGCTCCGGTTTTAACGTTAATGGAAAAAACTTTGATTGCAAAATTGTTGCGTATGTTTTACAAGAATGAACACGGGTCTACGACTGGCGATGGCATGTTTTGCCCTGGTGGATCTTTCGCGAACGGCTCGGCTATTAATTTGGCGAGATTTTGGTTCATGCAAAAGGTAAGCTTGCTATTGCCCTATAATTAAATGATGCTGAAGCATGCGGTGCAATATACATGGCAAGTGAGATATAATTAGGAGCTAAATAAGCAGAAACAAAAGCATAAATTAATCGAATGATGCACGATGCGCATAAAACTATAATTTTAATAGAAAATATTTTGTCTCAACAATTTTTACACAAAGTATAATAATTAAAATATTTTGTTTTAATTTTTATTATTCTCGTATAAAATTTTGCATATAAAAATTTATATTGTAATTTTCAGCGGAAAAATATATGCTCTTCGAAATTAACTCTTTTTACTTCCGAGGATGCTCATTACTCTGTTTTAAAATGGGCTAGTATGTGTGGTATAGAAAAAGTTGTTCTTGTGAAAACTGACGAGTTTGGCAGAATGGATATCAATAATTTGAGAACAAATATTTTCAAAGAACAACGTGAAGACAACAACGCATTTATGATTTTTGCAACTGCAGGTAAACAAATTTTGTTAAAAAAATATTGCGATATAGATTATAGAATAATTTAATCTTATTGCTTTCAGGAACTACAGTCCTTGGTGCCATTGATCCACTGAATGAAATTGGAAATATCTGCCGTGAACTTCAACTGTGGTTGCACGTTGATGCAGCTTGGGGTGGCGGATTGATGTTTAGTAAAAAGTATAAAGGACTTTTAAATGGCATAGAAAAGGCAGATTCTATAACTTTCAATCCGCATAAGCTATTAGCGGTCCCGCAACAATGCTCTTTACTTTTAACAAAGCATACTGATATTTTAACTATGGCCCATTCTAAACGGGCTTCTTATTTATTCCAAACGGATAAGTTTTATTCTAGAGATTTGGATATAGGCGATAAATATTTGCAATGTGGTCGTAGACCAGATGTGATAAAGTTTTGGTTTATGTGGCAAGCAAAGGTATTGATATTTCCATCTATTTTATACAGTACATTAATACTAAAAAAATAATGGCACACAATATACACAGTATTAAAGCATTTAATGCATTTTATCTGGAGCACTATTCTGGCCAAGACAAGAAGACTTGTCGAAAGTACTTCTTCAATTCCTCTTATCAAATTTTAGATGCAGCCACTTATGCAAATATGTATAAAAGTAGCCTCCATAGCATTTTTCCCCTATTCTCTTCATATACGTGCATCTTGTGCCTTGTGACTTAAGCCGATGCTGTGCTGCACCGGGTATGAGTTAAGGGCTTGCATGATTTTCCAAGTGTTTACTAATACACTTAGGCATATATTATCCACCCCTATGAATTATAAAGAATATTCACAACCCATTCACTTATTAATTCTTCAAGATTCAAGAAGGAAGACTCAGAGTTTCTCGAAAACTCTGTTGAGCGCTTTGGAAAATAATTTCTAAACTCTATGTTATTTTTACCGTAAAACGTTGCAAACTTCTGCATTCAGTATAATATGTATCAATTTATCTAGACATTTGTTTCAGGGTACTTCTGGCTTTGAAAACCATGTAAATCATTTGATGTATCTTTCAGCGCTGTTTAAAAACGAAGTTAATAAAAGGGATGGTTTCGAATTAGTAGTAGAACCATCGTTCATAAACATATGCTTTTGGTTTATCCCTGTTTCTTTGAGAAATAAACAAACATCTTATGGATATAAGGAAAACTTAAACAAGGTAAATTTGGATATTTATATGATAAATTAATTAAATTATTTAAATTTCTGAAGAAGTTAACGAATAAGATTAGCGATTATTGGAACATTTTCCATCCAAGTTCTCTGTATAAACTTCTGCCCATAAGTTACATCATCAGTTGGTAATATCATACTTTCATTTAACAGCATGAATACACAATATTCTTCAAAGAATCTTGTATATTCATATACCAGCTGTTAATAAACAATTCTATGCTACTAAAGAAGCTATTTTTTATTAGCAACTGACAATAAATATTTCGTATATGAGTAACGCTTTTAATGATGTTGCTCACGAAATACATAGATGACGTCGAAAAAAGATCTTAAATTATATTTTCTTATGCAAAGAAATGTTTAAAAGAATGTTACTAACATTAAATTGTTATTATATTTTTTTATATTGCTACATTGTTACTATCTTTTTTTAGGTTGCGCCAAAATTAAAGGAGAGAATGGCCAAAAGAGGAAGTCTTATGATTAATTATCAACCATTACGTCAGAAACCAAATTTTTTCCGATTTGTTATTCAAAATTCGGGAACAGATGAACAAGATATTTATTATATATTTGAAGAACTAGAAAATTTAGGCAAAGATTTATAACAGTTTTCATGTTAGTATCTTGAAATTCCATTACTTTGTATCTTACAATTAATAATATATGCAGTATACTATAAACATTTTATGAAACTGCATTGTTTAGCAATTAGCAATTGTTTAGTGATTTTAAATATTCTATATATTCTTTAACATTATAAGTAAATATATATATCATAGTAAATATATGTATGTATAACATGTGTATATATTTCTCTCTTTAAAATTAAATAAATCAATCATAGAAATCAATTTTTCACAAAGCGACCAGTGCATACTAGCATTTCGATTTCTGTAGGGACGAGTAAAAGGAAATGGGAAAACATAAAGAATTCCAGACACGAAAATCAATTTGTCCGGCTCAACTATGCGAAACGCAGTAATTGGATGATCTGATTAGGAGAGATCGGACACTAAATTTCTGGTACTAAGATAGGTCAATTCGTGACTACCTTCTTAAGTCGGCTCAATGATGTCAAGACAAGTATGTACAAAGTCGGTTCGAATTTACATTGAAATAACTATGAAGAAGCCGTACGTACCACTGGGAATATAATTATTCGCCACCATGACTGTACGCTTGTATTTAATACACCTACGAATATGTAAAAATATCTATATTCCTCGATATAATTACTACTATTTCTGATATCTCTGAATCGTTTCAATTTATATTCATGTGATTACTTTGTATAAATATTACTCTGTATAAATATATTCTAGAAAATATTAACAATTTAATAATACTATTCTCTCATATAAAAATTTAAAATATTAGGAATTATTAATATATCGAAGACTACGAGTTATAAAATACTATATATTTTTTGTGTTACATGACTTAAAAATACGCGATTTTTATTAAATGCTTTTATCGTGTACTTTTTTGGCGATTCGCGGGGCGCATTGCTCGTCGATTACAACCTTGCGTTCTAAGCCGACGTTAGGGGTTCTTGGCCTGCAGATGGGTATAAAGCGCAGTAGGGTTATCGACGCGAAGGGTTGTTAACATCAATATCGGTTACGCAAGTGCTACTCTCTTCAATGTCGGCAGACATGTACAAATTGGAATCACGATGTGAAAAGAGCTTACTAAATCTTCCTTCGAAGGTATGTATTTCGAGTATTATCTAGTTTTCAATACGATTTTATTCCATCGTTTTAAATGATCAGGAATGCTTTGATCCCAAGAAAATTAATAACCTACCAATCCTATTTTTGCATTTATTTATACGCTTCATGATTTTAGATTAATATCGAAAAATGTTTATATATATTCGTTTTATATGTATCACAATATACATATACAGTTACAAATGGATTCACACATACTAGTATTATTTAAAATATTTATATTCTTCTTTCGTATTTTTATTCTCAAGAATATGGGAATTATGGACATTTATCACTATTTCATCAACGAAATTTCGGGTAAGTTAAATAAATGAATAAAACAATAACTGGATAGATATTATATATATATATATTATAAAATGAGTGTATTCCTCTCTGAATATGTCAAATAATACGACATAAATAAATACAATAAGTAACTTAAATTTTGATAGAGTAATAATATAATTATATTTAGAAAGTAGCTTTCCACATATATATTTCATTGATATTAACTGATAGTTTTTAATTTCTTTTTTATCAACTGCATGATTTTTCTTATTTTTTGTGTATAACATCGCGGTATCTTTTTCTTGCTTCGATTTGCAGACCCCAGAGTTTCTGATTGGCTCTTGATGTCAAATCCATTTGGTATAGTACTAATTTTACTAGCTTATTTGTCTTTCGTACTTTATCTTGGGCCATTTTACATGAAAGAGAGAAAACCTTATGCGCTTACCAGGATTATGATTTGTTACAATGTTTTTGTCGCAACTGCGAGTGCTGTTATATTTTATGGTGTAAGTATAATTTATAATTTTAATAACATGCATCCGACAAAGATTTTTAAGTTATAAGATGTACTAAATTTGTCTTTAGATTTATAATTTTATATACTATATAATCTTATCTGCTTTTTAGATAGTTACATCTGGTTATACAACGCATCTTTCTGTGGGATGCGAACCTTTTGTAATTTCAGACGATCCTATGTCGCTTAACGTAAGTAACTGTGATTAAAGTTTATGATAAAGTCAAGTTTTATATTATTCCTCATGAGATCTATATGTTAAACTAAAAACTGTTTGATTAGACAATATTTAATAAAGAAATTTCCAATGCATATAAATTTTTATTATTTACAGATGGCTCGTTGGGTGTGGTGGTTTTTAATTCTGAAAATCATCGAGCTTGCAGATACCGTTATTTTCATCTTCAGAAAAAAGTATAATCAAATGTCGTTTCTTCACGTATATCATCACACAATGACTCTTTTTACAGTATGGCTCTCTTGCAAATATGCACCTGGTATGCATTAGATAACAATAATCGTAATAATGTTGAAAAAGGTTTAAAGTAAGTTAACAATTTATAAAATGTGTAATTCAATTGGGAAAGATATTCTATATTGAAATATATAAACATACTATGCATATGCATTTTATAATCATGACAAGCGCAAGTAATAATTAAATAAATTGATACACAGGTGGTATGTGGACTTTTATAATGTTGCCTAATTGCGCAGTACACGTAATTATGTACATATATTATCTCTGTACTTGTTTGGGACCCAAAATGCAGAAGATAGTTACTCCTTGGAAAAAATATATGACTCTTTTGCAATTGGTACGTAGACATTTTACGTTAATTTACATTTCACGATTTGACAGTACACTAACAAGATCTTTTAATCATCGCTATTTAAGAAATAATTAAATTATGTTCAATTTTATATAGTTTTGAAAAATACAACGTATCTACCAGATTCACGTGCGCATACGAAATAGCGTATTTCACGTGATACGTTCATATACGCGGACTTCATTGTGGTTACAGCGCTTCCATAACTCGATAACTGGCTTTTCACGAGGGATTGAAAAGCTCCGTAAGCGCTGCTTGCAGAATCACACGTGTTCTCGTCAAATCCCAATTCGGTTTGCATTTGAGCGTAACAGCGAGGGGCGGGGAGATGGGTAGACGAAGGCTCGCGGTACCGTTTTTAATTAAATAATCCGTTACCAGAGAATTTTTATTTCCGGCGATATCGACGGAACGATTTATCGGGTTACGTGGTTGTTTAATTTCGCGCGGAGCTTTTGCGCTCTAGAATTCCGGTCAGAGGTCCGATCGGGGAGGGAGGGCAAAATGGCGTGTGCTTTTTGCATGCGGTATATCGCGTCTGTCAGACGTATATGAATACTATGTGTCTTTGCTACTTTTACATGGTTTCCCGCGAATATTTATTTATATCTCTGTTTCAAGAGCAAATTGGATTTCACATAAAAATAAATATTTTAATAATGTAAATATAACGTAAAAAAGCTTTTAAGTAATAAAATAATGCAAAATGCAAAAAAATTATAAATTTTTTTTATGTTATCAATTATTATAAATACACTTGTCACAGTAAAAGATCATATAATTTTTTTTTATTTCAGATTCAATTTACTGTCATGATAGCCCATACGTTCCAAGCACTTCTACCGTCTTGTGAGCCTACGCGAAAACCACTAGCGTACATTTACATGTCTCAAATTGTTTTCCTGTTCTACATGTTTGTAGATTATTATAAGAAATCATACTTGAGGAAAAAGATTGAATAAACGAGTAGAAGTGTCATAGAATTTAACTAATAAGTTAATTTAATTTAGAGCTACTTTAGTAAATAGAAACGCATATAGATTCTTGATTTGTAATAATCACAAATTTAAATTCAGTAAATTCAATAAAAATTGCAAAATTTCAGAAACCATACGAAAATTATAAATGCATAAATTATAAGAAATTTTATTTCAAATTTATTAACTTATTTAGATATTTTTATTATTTCTCCATATGTTGCACATATAATTGATTTAAGCAATATGGTTACACGTGTAGCAAAAAATAGTTAAAAAAATTAAATTTTATTTTATGAATATTACAAAATTCTGAAATTTTGCATAATCTCATTGTCAATCGTAATCGACATTTTTATGTAATAAATAACAAATAAAATGTTACTCCATTCAAAAAAAATTTTTATTACTTCTTTCTCGCAATAATATTGCCGAAAAGACAAACAAAAGAAAACACGAGAGTGGAATCAAATATCCACGTTATTCAACTCAAAAGAAAAAAAGATTTAAAAAAGATATGCATGAAACAAGTCACTACGAGATGAGATATGTTACGCTGTACGTACTCTCTTCTGCATTACGTCAGATTGGATTTTATTCGCAAGGCTATCTGCCATCGAATCCTTTCCTTCTTTCCGATTTACTGTGCATTATACAATGTCCCGGATTACGTCGTGTCGGCGTTATAAATATAATATGCCGAATCTGTATTGCAAAATTCATTCGTTTCCTCTAGCTTAAGATATAAGCTTGCGATTAAATATAAAAAAATATTCCGGAAGCTATCGAGAACAAAATAAAATAGTATTTGAAAAAAATTTTAATGTTTTAAACTCTTCTTACACGATTATGTTCTGTGTCGTAAGAGCTTTGGTATTTTTAAGCGAACCTTTTTTGGTCAAACTGTCTCTTGCAATCCCGGTATCTTCACATCCATGTAAAAGTACGCGTGTCCCGAAGGACTACCTCTCGCTCGACTATTTTCCCGGCCGACTAACATTAGCATAGCGGATTAGTGCGTCCATGGCTTTAAGTCGACACGCATGGCCTCACGCCGATAAGACTTTATTAACGTCGCCTGTATTTATCCCATGCTTCAAGCAGCGACCCCTTTTGCATACGT